CCACAGGGATCCATTTTGTCCCCTTTGCTGTTTAACATCTACAGGAAACCGCTGGGAGAGGTCATCAGGAGGTGTGGGCTGCAGAATCATCAGTACGCTGATGATACCCAGCTCTACCTCTCATTCTCCACCAATCCAGGTGAGGCAGTGGCTGTGCTGAACCGGTGCCTGGCCGAGGTAATGGGCTGGATGAGGGCCAATAAACTGAAGCTCAATCCAGACAAGACGGAGGTCCTGTTGGTTGGCGGTTCGGGCTTCGGTGAGCGTGAATTGAACCTAGTCCTGAATGGGGTTGCACTCCCTCTTAGGGACAAGGTCCGCAGCTTGGGAGTGCTCTTCGACCCAGAGCTTTCACTGGAAGCTCAGGTGACAGCGGTGGCAAGGAGCGCTTTCTTTCAGCTTCGGCTGATCCATCAGCTGTGCCCCTACCTGGAGTACGACTGCCTGGCGACCGTGACACACGCGTTGGTGACTTCCCGCCTTGACTTCTGTAACGCACTCTACGTGGGACTACCCTTGAAGATGGTCCGGATACTTCAATTGGTTCAAAATAAAGCTGCCAGGCTGCTGACGGGGACTGGGCGTTACGTTCACATGACTCCAGTCCTCTGTCAGCTTCACTGGCTTCCCATTGAAGTCCGGGCCCAATTCAAGGTGTTGGTGATGACCTATAAAGCCCTAAACGGCTTGGGTCCTGGTTACCTGAAGGAGCGCTTACGTCCATATATGCCCGACTGCCCCTTGAGATCAGCGGGAGAGGCCCTTCTCCGGGAACCCTCCGTGAAAGAAATTAGGAGGGTAGGTACTCGGAGGAGGGCTTTCTCTGCAGTGGTGCCCAATCTATGGAATGCGCTGCCCAGAGACGTCCGCCGGGCACCATCGTTATTTGTTTTTCGGCGCCAGGTGAAGACCTTTTTATTCAAACGTCATTTTAACTGTTAATAGTATTTATTTATTTTATTCTTTGGCCAGGGAGACTTATTTTATATTGTTAACTTGTTTCATATTGTTACTTTATAGTATTTTAATTTATTTATTTGTGAGCTGCCCCGAGGCTTTGGCGAATGGGGCGGCACAGAAATTTTCTAAATAAATAAATAAATAATTAAATATGTATTTGGCCATCTAGTAACCTGATCTCTGGAAAGGACACAGAACATTAAAATAGTAAAATATAATATTAAATTGCAATCTCTGAACAGCAGAAAGCAGCATAAAGACTGGTCTTTCCAACAGAGCAACAAGTGGACCACTTGTAGCTCTCTAAACGTTTCAGCCTATAATTTCCATAATATCTAGCCAACATGCCAATAGTGGGTGATTATGGAAGTTATAGCCAAAGTGTTTGGATAGCCACAGGTTTCCTAAGTGCTGTGGTAGAGAAGCAATCAAACAAGTGATAAATCCAATATATAATAAGCACACATGATGTAAACTAAGATGTTCTGCCTAGATTGTAAAAAATATGACTTGAATATTCTGTAAAAAATATGACTTGAATATTCTGTAAAAAATATGACTTCAAAACATGAAGCATGGATGAATACATGCATTTTAACTGGCACTGAATTAGACCATAAGGCTAGCATCAGGAAGCCTCTCTTGGAAGGCTATTCCACAGCCAAGATGCCACCATGGGGAAGACTCTCCTCCCTGCTAGCCACCTACCTTACTTTATTTGCCCAGAGCATTTGGAATGAGGCCTGTAAAATGGATCTTAAAGACTGGATAAGTACAGGTGGGATGGCAGTGGTAGGTCTTCAAAGACAAACCTAGTTTCGCCATGGAGACAGCAACATGAAGTGAAGCCTCACGTCATTGCCACCACTTAGCACAATGGTACCTGCCCAGAACACCCCACCACATTTACAGTAAAAGACATATTTACAGTACATTCATAATCATCCTCACTTACATGTACACCCCACTGTGTTCAGTGGAGTACACTCCTAGGTAAGTGCACACAGAATTTCAGTCTTTCCTCAGCAGTCAACCCAATCCATTTTTATCTATTCTTGCTCTGGAGATTACTTTAAAATAGCCAGTTAACTTTGTATGAAAATAGTAAGCAAAGGAACATTAAACAGCATGTAACTCATCACAGCTTCCTCTTATTTAGATGTGTTGTTCATGTTTAGTTTAATCTGAGCTTCTTTTTTTGGCAAATGCAAGCTACATTTTGGCCAAAAAGGAGTATGTTGTAAAACAAACTGTGCAACACAAAATTTGACTAAAGCTGAAGTCCTCAACAGACCTTTAGGGAAGCCCAACTGAATTACTTTCTTTATAGACTTACAGGGAGTAAAACCCTGTATAGCTTTTTATGATATATTCAACTTCTATCAAACCTTAAAACCATGTTTGACACATCAGGGAAGGTGACAGTTACATGACTTTGAAGAAGTAATAAATGAAAATTGAAAAATATTGCAACAGAACGTCCAGATGGAGTCATACTTTGGCAAAGTTGATACAAGGGTGTCACAGTATTTAATTTCCATTGGACAATCAGACCGATGTTTCCATTCCTGACACTTATTTCAGGATACATTCTCTGAAGCCAATATAAGGGTGTTTTCCCTTCTCCCATTTCTTCCCTTTTTAGGAATTAAATGAGCTAGACCAGAAGTATGAGAGTGAGGATTCTGGACTGGCAGGTGTTAGCCAAGGGCCTCTTCAAAGCAGAACTAACTGTAGGAAAAGTACGACAGCAGACTGTAATTCAACATGGCAAGTTGGGCACTTATTTGCAAATACCTGCTGTGCAAGTACTTTCTGCATGTAGCCTGCAAGAACACAAAGATGAGATTTCACTGCTTTCAGAAGCAGAGAAAACAAAGGGAGAAGGGACACTATACAGAGACCCTCTTAAAATGCTATGTAATAAAGGACTTTATTAACTGTTATTGTAGAACACTGTGGTTATATCTGGGAATTCAGGCCAGAATCCCACATACAGTGGGAGATGCTCAGCAGTGATATGAAAAGCAATAGCAAAAGGAAGCATTTGCAAAAGATAAGAGTGGGAAGAGAACCATTTTCCCCCTCAGTTACACAGATGATTTCTCCGGCTTGGAAGGGCCAGCACAAAACCACCCTCTTTTTCCCTGCTTCCCCCTGCAATGAGGGCACCAGCAGCTGCCTCCCCTCTCTTTACCACCTCTAACGGCGGCAGCAACATGCCACCTCCCTCTCCCTTAACCTTCTCTCTCAGGGGTCCTTCTTCAGGACAAGATGCTGGTGGGAAGGTGATCCTGGAGACCACGTGATCTGCAGGGTTCCCCGCCACCAGTGCCTTGCTCTGAGAAACAATACCAGAGCCAGACGAGTGGGTTGGGCAAGTTCTCTGAAGAGTTATGCTGGGTGGCTGGTGAGGCATCTATGCAACTAGTGACTCTACTGTGGAGTCCCCACAGAGAGATAATGTCCAGGCCCAGGCAGCACTTCAGAGAGATATACCAGATGTGCTTCTGCTGCAGCATCTGACTTTCTGTGTTCTGGGCAGGGTAGTTCACTCAGAGGACCCCCAGAGTGAAGCATCAGCCTACTCCTCCACAGAGCCACCCCAGCCTTTTCTGCAACCTGAGAGAAGTCAGCAGAGTTCTCTGGAACTACTGTGTGCCTCACTCCAAAAGAACCTCAGAGAAAGAGATGCACTGGAAGGCTTCCAGAAAGCTGCCCCAGCCATTTTGCTATTGCAAGGACCATGGCAGTGGTGCACACAGCATCCCTGGTGGCTGTGGGGCCTGCATGATGTTGCTGTATTCACTCCCTGAGCCATGGGATTCATCCTGAGTCATAGGAAGGCTGGCTCGGATTTTGGGAAGGTGTCTAAGAATCCTTGCGTAGAAGAAAGTAGCCATGACAAAGTGAAAGCAGCAGGCAGGCAACAGAGGGGTCCCATTGCCCTCCCTCTCTCATGTGAATACTACTGTTTTCAAGGATAGCAACAACTATGTGGTTAGGAATCCCATATTTGCACCAAATGTACAGTTTGGTTGTCAGCTTATATTTGCTGATTTGAAACCCAGAATATCGCAGGGGTGAGCATTAGAGTAGATTCTGAAGGAGACCTGGGACAGTTCTCCTGGCTGCCAGCACAGGGATGGGGCTTCTAATTTGGGAGCTAAGAATGCACAAATTGCAAGACATGCTCAACCACTGAGAGTAAGGCATTGATCCAGACTTCTAAATTGCTTCCCAGTTTGAGAAGGGGGTGATGGGACTTGGCAACATTTCTCAGGGAACACTGGCTGGACTGTCCCATCTGAATGGCTACTTCAATAGCTTTATAACCTTTTCAAAAATATATGCCCTCCTATTCATATGCCAACTCTTTAGATCATTTGGATCACAGAGCAGCACACATTGCAAACATGTCAGTTCAAAATTACTGGTATGCTTTGGCTTCTTCCTAGTAATTTCAAAGAAGAAGATCTGCACTGATTTATAGCAAAATTTATGACTGCTCTGCTTGAGTACAGCCTGCAGGTGAATACAAGCTAAGGAATGCAATTGCCCTTAACAGCAGTTGTTCATAAATCTTGCATAAAAATCCAGGTACTAATTGCTCTAATTCTGATTAAGGTTCTATAAAAGAATACTTAACAAAATGCCAGCATCAAATTAGTTATGCAAGGATAATGTTTTGGCAATTTCCTTCTTCTGTCTGAATAATAATGCAATAACGTATTGCCTGATCCATTGACAGAAGAGTCAACATGGCTCTAATTAGCTACAGCTGTCTCATGTATGCAATAAAAAGAGCAGGCTTTGTTCAGCTTAGGCAGCGGCTTTGAAATCAGACGTTAGGAAATAGTGCACATCCCCATGAAGTACCCACAAGGTGAAGATTTTAAGCATGAATAATCCCACAGTCTAGCTAGGTTGTGTGATAACGCATAGGATTTTCCTGCCTATGTATGGGGATGGCTCATTCCTGGAAAGATGACCAAACGCTTCCCCACCCACCCTCCTTCTTGTCTTCCTCTGCTACTTACACTGGAGTGTGTGGGCAGGACAGCTGGTTCCAGGAACATTTATACTGCACTTGAACAAAACTCTCAGTGCCATCCAGCACAGAGCAGGTCACATTCTTGTTCACTACGAGGGCACACCAATTTCTGCAGGGGACAATGGAGACAAGGCCAGGATTGATTCAAATGATTATACCATTTGTTTGAGATAAACATGCAATGACACATATTAGCATGGAGTCAAGAAAGGCTTATAATTAGCTGAGCAGAAGTGGAGGCATTAACCCAACTCATGAAAAGGATGCATAGTCCCATTTCAAAAATGTACAACAGTCAGGAGTTGTAGGGAATACACTCTCTTGAATGCAACAGTGGAATTGAAATATTATAAAACACTGTTTTACTTAATGCTGTTTTACTTGATAATCAAATGTACAACAGCAAGAGCACACTCCTACACATGCTACTTTGAAGTACCACCAAATTTAGGTAAGTGGGGATAGGAAATGCAATGTAAGACACACATGTTCTCCAAATGCAAACAGTGACTACAGAACAGAGCTTGAAATTGGTGAATATCTCAAACCAAATTGAGGAGTATGTTTGAACACTGAATGATTTAACAATCTCTGCTCTGCACTGCTCTTCCTAATATCAATAAACTCAAGTTCTTTGAAGACACAATCTTATACAAGTTTAGGTAGAAAAAAGGCCCAGAACTCCCAGCTTGCCCATCAGTACAGCTTTTTCTTTCTAAGCTTGCATAGGATTGCACCCTAAATTACTGTACTCCCAGGCACCCAGTATAATTTCTAATAAAGCAATCAGAAACAAATAATACCTAATTTTAGGATAGAAAGCAAAAGTGGTGCCATTAAATATTAAACTGATACTGATTTGGGACAGGATTTGGTTAAGAAATCAATCTGAACTGGAAGACAGACTGCTGTGAGTTGCATGTGTTGACAAGCAGCACAGAACAATTGAACAGAGGCTAAATGGAAGGGAGAAGATATAAATTTTCTTTTTAGAGGCAGGTACATAAACCAAATGCTGCCTTAGATGAATTCCAGACGTTTGTCTTTCTCAACTGAAATTTTATGACACATTAATTTATCCTTGTCTTTTCCATGTAAGTTGAACGCCATTCCTTTTTACAAATTGGCTAAGCATTGAGTTCTGGGTGGGGTCATATTTTTAAAAAATGACCTGTGTTTGGGTGAAACAGGAAACTGTGAGAATGCGAAAGCAATGCTTTATCTTTATACTTCCTCCAACTGCCAAAACTTGGAACTACAGCTTGGTGCAAAGCAAGGATGGGGAATGTGTGACTTTCCAGTGGCTATTTGTCAGCAACTCTCATCAGTCCTTACCATTAACAATACAGGTAGAACCGGAAAGAATTGCACATTTACCACCTGTGGTGTAAAGAGTAAATGTGGGTGAGCTTTTTGACCTGTTAATAATGAATAATGTCTGCAATAGATGTAGCAAGGACCAATAACTCAATCAATAGCTTTGCTGGTATTTTTGTTACATTTTGTTACATTTTATGACTACTGAAAACTTTCTGGGCAGACTGTTTGGGTATCCTAGATGGGAGATTTACTGGGAATGTTGTTGAAACATAGATCATCATGTGATCTGAACACAATGCAATCACAAACCATGATGAGCAACTCATATTTCACAACTCAAGCAAACCCACAGGTTCTTTTCATGGATTGTTTGCAGTTAAAAAAGCCTAGCTCTACATTAATCCTGAGTGCAGAGTGGCCAACTTGTGGCTCTCTGGATGTTTTGCCCTACAACTCTCCTGCCATTTGTTATGCTAGCTAGGGCTGATGGAAGTTGCAGGCCAAAACATTTGGATAGCTACAACTTGCCTTTGACAGAGCATTTACAGCAGTGAGTGTTCAGCCAGTCCACCAAAATAAGCCTCAAGCAGGTATTTCCTCTCCCCACATCCTTTGTCAAAATAGTTGCCAGTTTGTAAGATTAGTAAAGCATTTGTGAACTAATCTATAGGACATCACAAGTTCTATCACATCGAATTGTTACTATCTGAAATAACCTAAGATGAGTATACATATGCAGTGGGAGCTGATGAGGCAATGAACTGGTAGGTAAGTGAAAGGAAGATGCTTCCATAATTGAGCAGTAGCCAATTATGCACTTACTAGCCAGAGTAGTAGGCAGGAGTGGATGCAGTAAGTCTACAGCTTTAGTAAGTCAGAGGCTACAAACCTGCACCATTCTGATTCCAACTAACCTCTTATTTCACAACCAGCAGGACAGGCAATGGATTCTCCCTCAGTGAACATCTGGCCCCCATTAATTCACCACTTTGCCAGCTACCACACTGACATATTTCAAAGAATAACTGCAATACTGGCCAGTTCAAATATCACAATCAACCAGAGAGGATTAAGTTACCTGTGACAGCTATTGCATTGTGCCAGGTGCACATAGATGGCATTTTGTATGGCTTATTTTAGGGTTGAGGGCTATCTAATGCTTAAACAACTCCTGTTGCCTGGGTTTGCATAACATGGTAGGCTATGGTAGCAACCTAAACACCCTATGCAATGTGACAGATCCTGTGTGTAAATTAACCAGAGTGAGTTGTTGTATCCTGTGAAGCAGGTTTATGGGATGGAATGCCTATTGTCAACTGTCAAGAGCTGACAAAAGCAAAGGAACAGTAGATAACATTCGGAGGGCAATAGTCCACTGAGAAGTTTCCGAGAGGGACATAGCACCAGAGTGAAAACCAGCCTAGTCCTGTGCTGCAAGGCCCTTGCTTCCTCTTTTCCTGCCAGAAAGAACAGCCTGAGTTGAACTGAACAGAAGCATGTTTTTCCTTTAACCACATAATGTGTCTATAGTTGGTGCAGGGGGGGTGGGGGCATCCTAATGTTTTCCCATTTTCATTTGATTGTAGTTACAGTATATCAAAGGCAATTAAACTGGTCAGTCCTAGAGGAGATCAACCCTGACTGCTCTTTAGAAGGCCAGATCCTGAAGATGAAACTCAAATACTTTGACCACTTAATGAGAAGGAAGGGCTCCCTGGAGAAGAGCCTAATGCTGGGAACAATAGATGGCAAAAGAAGAAGGGGACAGCAGAGAATGAGGTGGCTAGATGGAGTCACTGAAGCAGTTGGTGTGAGCTTAAGTGGACTCTGGGGGATGGTGGAGGACAGGAAGGCCTGGAGGAATGTTGTCCATGGGGTCGCGATGGGTCGGACATGACTTCGCGACTAACAATAACAACAAAAACAGTATATCACAGAAGTGAGTACACCCCTCACATTTTGTAAATATTTTATTATATCTTTTCATGTGACAACCCTGAAGAAATGACACTTTGCTACAATGTAAAGTAGTGAGTATACAGCTTGTATAACAGTGTAAATTTGCTGTCCCCTCAAAATAACTCAACACACAGCCATTAATGTCTAAACCGCTGGCAACCAAAGTGAGTACACCCCTAAGTGAAACTGTCCAAATTGGGCATTATTAGCCATTTTCCCTCCCCGGTGTCATGTGACCCATTAGTGTTACAAGGTCTCAGGTGTGAATGGGGAGCAGGTGTGTTAAATTTGGTGTTATCACTCTCACTCTCTCATACTGGTCACTGGAAGTTCAATATGGTACCTCATGGCAAAGAACTCTCTGAGGATCTGAAAAAAAGAATTGTTGCTCTACATAAAGATGGCCTAGGCTATAAGAAGATTGCCAAGACCCTGAAACTGAGCTGCAGCACAGTAGCCAAGACCATACAGTGGTTTAACAGGACAGGTTCCACTCAGAACAGGCCTCGCCATGGTCGACCAAAGAAGTTGAGTGCGCATGCTCAGCATCATATCCAGAGGTTGGCTTTGGGAAATAGATGTATCAGTGCTGCCAGCATTGCTGCAGAAGTTGAAGGGGTGGTGGGTCAGCCTGTCAGTGCTCAGACCATACGCCACACACTGCATCAAATTGGTCTGCAGGGCTGTCCTCCCAGAAGGAAGCCTCTTCTAAAGATGATGCACAAGAAAGCCCACAAACAGTTTGCTGAAGACAAGCAGACTAAGGACATGGATTAGTGGAACCATGTCCTGTGGTCTGATGAGACCAAGATAAACTTATTTGGTTCAGATGGTGTTAAGCGTGTGTGGCGACAACCAGGTGAGGAGTACAAAGACAAGTGTGTCTTGCCTATAGTCAAGCATGGTGGTGGGAGTGTCATGGTCTGGGGCTGCATGAGTGCTGCCGGCACTGGGGAGTTACAGTTCATTGAGAGAACCTTGAATGCCAGCATGTACTGTGACATACTGAAGCACAGCATGATCCCCTCCCTTTGGAGACTGGGCCGCAGGGCAGTATTCCAACATGATAACGACCCCAAACACACCTCCAAGATGAACACTGCCTTGCTAAAGAAGCTGAGGGTAAAGGTGATGGACTGGCCAAGCATGTCTCCAGACCCAAACCCTATCGAGCATCTGTGGGGCATCCTGAAATGGAAGGTGGAGGAGCGCAAGGTCTCTAACATCCACCAGCTCCATCATGGAAGAGTGGAAGAGGACTCCAGTGGCAACCTGTGAAGCTCGGGTGAACTCCATGCTCAAGACGGTTAAGGCAGTGCTGGAAAATAATGATGGCCACGCAAAATATTGACCCTTTGGGCCCAATTTGGACAGTTTCACTTAGGGGTGTACTCACTTTTGTTGCCAGCAGTTTAGACAATAATGGCTGTGTGTTGAGTTATTTTGAGGGGACAGCAAATTTACACTGTTATACAAGCTGTATATTCACTGCTTTACATTGTAGTAAAATGTCATTTCTTCAGGGTTGTCACATGAAGATATAAAATATTTACAAAATGTGAGGGGTGTACTCACTTCTGTAATATACTGTATATATTCTGAACATTTTGTTACCTGTGTGGGTGGATTCCAAGAATGGTGTTACAAAAATACAATAAATACATTTGTTTTTGTTTTGATTTGCTGCAGATCCCATGTAAACCTTGGGGCTCATGCTACAGAAGACAAAGCGTTCGATTTCAGAAGAGCTTGATAAATAATTCGCAGATTAACCACTTTTCCGGAACTTTTCTACTTCCTCGACTACCATCAAGCACACGATATTTTTCCACGGCACACTATACAGTTACTTGAGCACAAGCAGTTAGCGTGCTGAGTTATGGACCGACAGCACGTGGAACGCGTACGTGTGAGCGCAAAACAGAATCTCTCGGCAACTCCATCAGTTGCCCAGCCATGAAGACCCAGCGGGCCGTTCTGGTTACGGATGAGACCTCCCAGCACCGCGCACCAGAAGGCCGTTTTTCCCTCGCTCCTCCGACCTGCCTGCTGGCGGCCGGGCTGCCGCTCTCGGGTCTTTCCGCCCCGCGGCGCTGGCTCGCCCGTCTCAGCGAAATTACGCGCCCCGCCGCCGCCGCCCAGCTGTCAAGGCGAGCAAGAGCAGACGGGCTCAGCCGCGGTTCCAGGTGGTGGCTGCTGCCTGCCTTCACGTCCATGTTGCACGAGGGTCGTCCGCGAACTCTTACACGCGCCCAGACCCCCCTCCCCACGACTCTGCAGCACGGAAACGCTTCGGGGGCTCAGCGCCTCTCCCGGGCCCGAGGCAGGCACTGGGCGGGGCGGGGGGCTGCACGGGGAAGGGGCGGGAAGGCGGCCACTTACTTGCTCCTGGCGCGCGAGCGCGGGGCGTCCTGGCCGAGGCAGCCGCCCAAGCACAGGAGGAGCGCCACCGTCCAGCGGAGGAGCCTCGGGCACAGCCCCATGGCCGGCTGGAGGCTCCGCGAGGAAACCGACGAGGCGCGAGGAGCTACGCCGGAGCGGCACTGCTGCTCGCCAGCCTCTCTTCCCCGCCCGCAGCCTTCTTATCGCCCCCACCTTCCGCTTCCCCGCAGGCGCTACGCTGCGCTCGCCCCCTGCGCTGTAGCGCGCCGTCGAACCTCCTTCCCTGACGCAACAATTCTGCACACCCCCCGCCTTTCCCCGCGACTCTCCTTCCAAAGTTTCCGCCCTCCAATTCACACGCATCCTCTTCCCGCAGGATGACTCGCCGCCCCCCCCCCGTCTTGGCCGGCCAAGCGGCGCGCCACCCGCTCGCTTCTCTTCTCCCATTCTCGCCGGCGAAACTCCTGGGGGGGCCCTGACAGAGCGCCCGTGCAACGCTGGCACGCGGCGAGGCTCTGGTTGCCCCCGTGCGCATTCGGGCGCAAGCGACACGTTCCCCACGAGCAGCCGGTCCCTCGCGGACACCCCCGCTCGCGCGCTTGCTTGAGGGCGCCCTCGCTCAAAGGCCGCTGTTGCATCTCCTGAGGAATCCCCGGAGAAGGGCACGTGTCCCCTCGTGAGCCGCCGCCCGAGGAATCTCCCTAGCGCGCACGCCGCGTCCCCTGCCTGCCTTTCTTTCTTTCCCTCCTTCCTTCCTTTCCTTTCAGCCGAGGACTGGCTGAGGCTTCTTTTCCAAGAACGCTCTTACGCAACTCAGCAAACGCATCCAAAATAAGTGCTTAATAAATGAAGACGGCTTTCTTTGCCAAAGGAGTGCGGGGGGGAGGCACGCAGGCGAGCACGCAACTGAATTTACCAGGACACCTCGATATACCTGATTAGGGGCAAAATCCCTAAAAGCAGGCCACCGAGATAACCTCTGGATGAGAGAGAGCGAATCATGGGGTAGTTTCATGTAGGGTTCATGTGTATATAATAGGAAACTGGGAGTACATCCTGCTGGAGCTTAAGCTGTTTTATAATGCCGATTTCCTGTAATCTGGAGAAGTAATGGGCAAAATACCATGCCACATCAGCCCAAAGGTATGTGTCCAGCCACACTCCTGCCATTTTTCATTTTTCTCTGGGTCACATTAATTTTTTTATGGAATTAATAGCAGGAAAGCTCCTGCTGTTAATCTGCAAACTTGGCTGGTTTTGCATACCCTTGCACCCAAAGGTATCTTCTTGGGTTTCAAAGAAATTAGCAGAGAAATGCTATGGTTTCATTAGTGTCAACCTACAAATCCACCCTTTAACATTGGAGAAACTGGACAAATGGGATGGGAACAAAGCTGCTCCTCAGAAGTATAGCAGAATGGTCTCTTTAAGGAGTAAAATTCAGTTGAGGGAGGGGATATTACAAAACAGATCACTCCAATTGCATGCTTTTCCACCTCCCCTTTTATTCTAATAATATTTCCAGTTTTCTACATGTGTTTGCATGGTTGTGGATAGCTGCATCATCTTCTAAGGAGTAGTAAATGAGATATGTTCAAAGGGTAGCTTTAAATGGTTTTTAAAAACAAAATGAAATAATTATTTAAAACAAAAATGTGGAAAAGCTCCAGTCCGAAGGAAGAGGGCCAGCTTGATACTTCTGCCCACTTCCCTCCTGCAGTTGTTTCTTCCTCTATGAACTAGATTTTTTGTTGTGGTTGGGGAACTAAGAGGAAACACAGATTGCGCTGCAGTATGCATCGTTTCCCCTTTAAAGGAATTAAATTCTTTAAAGGAAGAATGAACCCTAATAAAAGTCTCCTTCCATTTCTGAAGTTTTATAGATCGGATATTTACAGGCAGATTAGCAATGCAATCCTATGCATACCTGCTTGAAGGTAAGCCACACTGTGCTTAATATGGCTTACTTTTATGTAAATAGCTATCTGGTTACATTTTCAAAAAATATCATACACCTATAACAGCTGGAAAGGAGAAGGGGTGAAATAAGGAATGAATGCACTGTAAAAGGTAAGTGCTCACATTGCTTTTATGGGCAAAAAAATTACACGGTAAGGCTCTCATCTACATTATTGTTTTCCTGATCACCATGTATAGGAATGAAAGCTGGACAGTGAAGGAACTTGATAGGAAGAAGACTGATGTCTTTGAAATATGGTACTGAAGGAGAGCTTTGCTCCAACAGCCTGTACTGACAGAATGACAAATAACTGTGTCCTAGACCAAATCAAGCCAGAACTTTTTCTGGAAGTAAACATGAGAAAATGAGGCTGTGCTACTTTGGGCACCTCATGAGAAGACAAGACTCTCTGGTGATAACAATCATGCTAGGGAAAGTGGACACAGAAGAAGAGAAAGGACAAACCTGAGATGGATTGACTCCTTAAAGGAAGCCACAGCCTGGAATTTACAAGGGCTGCACAGGACTGTCAAAGACAAAACATTGTGGAGGACTTTCATTCATAGGGTTGTGCTAAGTTGAAGAGGACTTGACAGCATGTAACAACAAAAATGTAAGCAATGCTTGCCTTCTCTTCCTACATGTTGAACAGCTTACCAGTGGCAAGATCAGAATCCATAAGAACCTGATGCCCTAAAGTTTTTCAAAGTTTTTATTAAAAATGAATTTCTGAAGAGAGCAGGGAGTAGAGACCTTCATGGACACCTTGCAGCTCTAGTCGGTGCCTTGGTGCACCATTCAGAAGAAACTTATTCAGATTGTGCTAGTGTTAACACCAAAACTTTTTCACTTCAGAGTTGCTGTAACCATCCAGAAATGCTTGCAGCTTACAGATATTACAGATAAGGAGAACAGGAGCAAATACAAAAAAGGAACATATCAAAAGTACTTATAGATACTTGTTTCTGCAAGAAGAAAAGGAATTGATTTGGTTATTTTTAGCCCCCTTCCCCCCTTTTTCTTCCTGGTGTCCATAGTACTGTTTGTTTTCTGAGATGTCCCTCCCACTTTGCTTTTGTGTAAAGGGGAGGCAACCACTTTCAGCCTGAGGGCCAAATTCAACTTTGGAGAAGTTCTTGGGAACTGCATTCAATTGGTGGGTGGTGCCGAAGGCAAAAGGGACAGAGATTAGAACATGCTAGCATATGGTATGTGATGCCATTAACTAAGCCTTAGCAGGCACTTCAATGGGTCAGACCAGTCCATCACTCATTAAATTAGTACATAAAAACTAACTAATTTGGCTAGAGCTATGAAGAAGGAAGGAAGTGTTGCTGTTTTAAGAATGCATTACAAATGAATGACTAATTGGGGCTCTTTCTATCAGAGCAGGGACTCCAATAAATTCTGCTTTCTGCCATTGAGCAAAGGAGGGAATCCTTTTTCCCAGATGATGTCATCATCTGGGCATTTGCTTCTTCCATCAGAATGAGGCATGTTCCTTGAGAGCAGGCAGCTCTGTGAACACAGTGGAAGCAAGTTAAGCACCACACTTGGGGCTGTTCTTATGGAGAGGGCAACATAAGCTTCCACTCTTGGCACTGAGTGGTATAGCATGCACTGGCACAAATCCTATAGGAGATGCCATTTCTTTATATACACAGAGCAGAGGCCCATGCTCCAGTCTCCTGGCAGCACATTCAGAAAACCTCCTCAGTACACACCACATCTGCCACAAACACAGGCATTATACTAGTCTATCATAATACACAAATGCTTTGCCCTCTAACAGCTGAATATTCAAACAGATTTCCTCACTCTGTGGTGTTAGAAGTACAGTTCAAGGCATTATGTTCTGGATCGTTCTTTGCACCTGCAAGAATGATAGTTAATATCAGAGGATAGAGCTATCAGCTGTGGGATGGCTTCTAAATCTCTTCTTAAAGGGAAAAGAGCATCCTGCTGAATTCCCAAAATAGCATACTGCTCTAGGCACCCTGGAAAGAAAAATAAGCAACATCCTTAAATAGTAATGGATCATGAACCTCCAGTATTACAACATAAAACAGTCAAATTCGTGTATTTACTGAGGCCATTGCAATGTTATTTTCCTAATGTCTAAACACCAAATCATTAACAGAGGCTTAATCAAAATAACAGAAAGCACTCCAATATCTCATCAAGTAAAATCTGAGAGTTGTCATTCTCAATTTGCAACATATTGCTTTTAGCTGCTTTAGACTGCATAGTTCATTGTATAATCAAAGAAAAAGATTAGCTGTGAACTGTCAATTGCTTCCGTGTAATGGAGTAACAAAATATTAACTCAGGCAGCTGCTGCCTAAACTTTTCCTCTCCACCCTTTAGAGACATAAAGGAGGAAAAACAGCACTGCTTTATATAAGAAAGGCTGTTTTAGGTCAGACTGAGGGTCCATCTAGTCCAGCATTCTGTTCACACAGTGTCCAAACAGCTGTCCACAGGATCCTAAAAACAAGACATGACTGTAGCAGCTACAGTCTCCTGCCCCAGTTCCCAATCATATTGACTCTGAAATAGGAAAATGGTGCTTCACTTTAAAAGGCTATTGTAGTTATTGTTTTGATTTGTAGTTGTGCAGATGGAAATGTCAATTTTATATGATAACCATGCTGGTTGTTCTTACTATGCATAAAAATTAGATATTAGAAGTCAGAAAATTAAAAAAAGATGTTTCACCAAAGCTGAAATATTATAACAGTTCTAGTAGCTGTTCTAGAATGCTCCATGCCTGAGGAAATCCAAAAGAAGCAGTAGGTGATGTATTTGTCAGGACTGAGTAAAGTGTTATAATGCAGTGATTCAGTGTTCAAATCTTAGAGGACGCTTCTTTAGGCTGTGTAAGGGGAAGAGATGTGAACATGGTAAATAAGTCTCTACCTGTACCTTGTAAAATGGGGCAGTGGAGGAGGCAGGCAGATTTAAATAGAATGTGCCAGGTGCAAAAGGGTGACAGTCATTTAAGTATGAACATGAAAGCATCGTAAGTCTTTTGGGGGTAGAACAAGACCTTGCCAATGGAGAGTAAGCAAGTGTTGCACCATTTTACTATCTATATTTAATATATACATTACATTTGGTGTTGTTTGTATTGCATTTATTTTAAATATGGTTAACAGCTTAATTGTAAGGAAGAGGCAAAATAGAAGCTGAGATAAATAAATGTTTACAATACCATTTGTGTGTTGTGTTGAAATGGCAAAGGGCAGCCCAGAGAGAGGCATTCTTGGCTGCCT